TGCTTACTACCTACTACACACACACACACACACACACACATATATACAGGTATATATATATATATATATATATATATATATATATATATATATATATATATATATATATATATATATATATATATATATATATATATATATATATATATATATCCTGAGCCCTGATTTAGAGAAGGTTAAAACAACCTGTGTATTGTTGTCAGGACTTGGTCATCACAACACAAACAGAACCAAGTTATCGACAACTTCAAACAATCGAACTTTTAATCGTTCCATAAAAATGTTTCAGTCTATGAAGCTCCGCAATTCATATCGACAACTTTTTACCAGAATGTCAACACGATGTATTTTTAAACTGGATTTTCTGTGATGGGTTTTCTACTCGTTACCCAGTGATGTAAAACTGACACTCTCTCTGGACCTCAAAATTGACATTCATTGTCAACACGTTAATGAAAAAGTTAGGTATCCACGACGAGTAAACTGGTGTCATATTGCTGTACAAACTACATTTTGCTGCAAAAACATGGTATTTGTGTAGAGATTTCATATTGCTTCATGTGGCTTTATAGAATAATGTATCAAGCAAAATTTAATTCATGGAGGAACCGTTCAATGAGTGCGTCACAAGGGTCCTGCAGGTGAGGGAGTTTTTTTTTTTTTAATGGGGGTTAGCTCACCTGGGCACAGGTCACTGACCCACATCGGGGCCTGGGGGTGAAAATATAATAATAATAATAATAATAATAATAATAATAATAATAATAATAATAATAATAATAATAATAATAATAATAATAATAATAATTCATATTAATAAAATTTATAATAAAATTACATTAAAAATAAATAATAATTCATAGAAAATAAAATTTATAATACAAAATTAATAATAATAATAATAATAATAATAATAATAATAATAATAATAATAATAATAATAATAATAATAATAATAAGGAACCATAAAGAAATGCAAAAATGAAAAAATCAATAGTGAGAAACAATATACTGTGTGTATGTTGTGTTGTCAAAGTAAGAGAAACAATTGATACCCTGCAATTGTGTGTAAATGAGGCAGAAAGTCAGATCAGCAACCGGGGACTTGGTCACAATTTTCATGATGCCATATAGCAGCAGGGTCTACCATTAGACAACACATTATGTTTACAATATCTTCCCAGGCGGTAGTACCTCCCTGTTTGGTAGCTGCCTACTACAGGGTGAGAGTGTGGAAAGGTGAAAGTTTGTGAGTGTGGGAGTGTGTGAGGATAAGTGTGGCAGGGCGAATGTGGGAAGATGAAAGTGTGACTGAATACAAACCTCTCCTGGGCTACCAACACTACTTAGCTTTAATGGGTGAACAGACAGTACTTCACTAAATAGATATCCACACAAGAAAGTCATTCATTAGTTGTCGTTCTCTTATCTCTAAGCTAGTCAATGTTTTCTGCCAGTCGTGAACAGAGAGATGCAAGACTATCCATTTACTCACTTCTATGTTCAGGTGCTGACTGCCACCCACTGCAAGTCGTTCCTTCTTATCTCTGACTCACTCAATGCTTTAACTGTGAACTCTAAACCAACACAGACATCTGGTAATTTTATCTAGATTTAGGTTTTTCTTTTTTACTTAATGGTCACCCAAGTTAGACGTAGCCATGGCGAGAGAAGGCCAGTTGTGTGTGTAGAATCCCTCCACCACTTATTTTAATTTTGACAATGTATCAGTTACAGCCACACACACACACACACACGCACACGCACTACAACAGTCAGATAGCCACACACTACAGCGGTCATACAACCACACACACTCACACACTACAAGTCATACAACTACACACACACTCACACTCTACAAGTCATACAACCACACACACACTCACACTCTACAACAGTCATACAACTACACACACACACACACTACAACAGTCATACAACTACACACACACACACTCTACAACAGTCATACAACCACACACACACACACACTACAACAGTCATACAACTACACACACACACTACAACAGTCATACAACTACACACACACTCTACAACAGTCATACAACTACACACACACACACTCACAGTCATACAACCACACACACACACACACACAGTCATACAACACACACACACACACACACTCACAACTACACACACACACACTACAACAGTCATACAACTACACACACACACACTCTACAACAGTCATACAACCACACACACACACACACACACACTCTACAAGTCATACAACTACACACACACACACACTACAACATCATACACACTACACACACACACTCCACACATACAACTACACACACACACACTCTACAACAGTCATACAACCACACACACACACAACAGTCATACAACACACACAACAGTCATACACACACACACACACACACACACACACTCCAACAGTCATACAACTACACACACACACTCTACAACAGTCATACAACTACACACACACACACTCTACACAGTCATACAACCACACACACACACACACACACACAACACACACACACACAGTCACAACACACACACTCTACAACAGTCATACAACACACACCACACACACACACACACACACACACACACACACACACACACTACAACAGTCATACACACACACACACACACACACACACATCATACAACACACACACTACAACAGTCATACAACACACACACACACACAACAGTCACACACACTCTACAACAGTCATACAACTACACACACACACTCTACAACAGTCATACAACACACACACACACACACACACACACTCTACAACAGTCATACAACTACACACACACACACACTACAACAGTCAACCACACACACACTCTACAACTACACACACACACACACACACACACACACACACACACACACACACACACAACAGTCATACACACACACACACACACACACACTCTACAACAGTCATACAACTACACACACACACTCACAACAGTCATACAACTACACACACACACACTACAACAGTCATACAACTACACACACACACACACAACAGTCATACAACTACACACACACACACTACAACAGTCATACACACACACACACACACACACACACACCACACACACACACACAACAGTCATACAACTACACACACACACACACACACTCTACAACAGTCATACAACTACACACACACACACACACACACACACACTACAACAGTCACAACACACACACACACACTACACAGTCATACAACTACACACACACACACACGTCATACAACACACACACACACACACACACACTCTACAACAGTCATACAACTTCACACACACACACACACACACACACACACACACACACACACTACACAGTCATACAACTACACACACACACACACAACAGTCATGCAACACACACACACACAACATCATACAACTACACACACACACACACACACTACAGAGTCATACAACTACACACACTCTACAACAGTCATACAACTACACACACACACACTCACACTCTCCAACAGTCATACACACACACACACACTCACATAACAACAGTCATACTGCCACACACATCCTTGACCACCGAAGGGTCAAGACGTACCTGCGCTCCTCTCGGAGCAGCCAGGTCAACTGTTGGCCCTACCAACCCCTCCCTGAACCCTCTCCCCACCGGAATATCAACAAGTTCTCGCCAGAAGTTACAATTTCATTTAGGAAAGGAACGGAACCAGTGTTAACAGGGTGAACAGTGGTGAACAGTGCTTAAGTCAGTGAGAACAACTCAACAGTAACAGTCGTACCCAGTTAACCTTCACAGTGAGGTCCCAGGTACCAGTGATAACGGGAGACCCAACAACAACCACGATGTGTTGTTAATCCGTCTACGATAGGAAGGCCTGGGACCAACCTCACTCATATAACACCATCTGTGAGAATTACCATGTCCCTCATAACACCATATGTGAGAATTACACACCATCAAGTCCTCATACACCATCTGTGAGGAATTACTACCCACGTCAGGCCCCTCATAACACCATCTGTGAGGAATTACTACACGTGGCCCTCATAACACCATCTGTGAGGAATTACTACACCACCCCTCATAACACCATCTGTCCACCACGTGAGGCCTCATAACACCATCTGTGAGAATTACTACACCACGTGGATACCAGTCCTGCTATTGCCTTGAACTACTACACCACGTGAGTTCCTCTAACACCATCTGGGAGGTTATACACTAGTTTGCTGTTCAACACCTACATTAATCTGTATGTTCACTGTATGTTCCTTTACCTTTCTCTAATGAAGGCTTTTGTTAAACCACCAATGTATGTAATAAGTCATTTATGTCCAATGTATATTTTCAGCCTTCGGGCTGCAGAATTTTTTCAATAAACCGTTAATTATTATTATTATTATTACACACACACACACACACACACACTATGCACTGTCACTATGTTGAAATGCCCTTTAGTCTGAGCTTCTCCCCACCTAGTTATTATATATCATATTTGCATAACTTATGTTACTTGTATATTATTTGTAAATCAAGAGACCCATTCCCCAATTATGTAACTGGATATTTTCAGCCTTCTGGCTGCCATGCTCTTTCAATAAACCGTTAATTATTATTATTATTATTATTATTATTATTATTATCATTATTATTATTATTATTAACAGTCATACAGCCACACACACACTACAACAGTCACAAAGATACACACACTATAATAGTCATATAGCCCCACACACATACACACACACACACACACACACACACTACAACAGTCATAGAGCCACACACACACACACACACTACAACAGTCACACACACACACACACACACACACACACTAAAACAGTCATACACCCACACATACACTACAGCAGTTGCACACACTACAACATCCAACACCTATACCTGACCGTATGGAAAGGACTAAGGCACATTAACCAATTGATAAAATGACTCGTAACTTTATTAAGTACACAAATTACTTCATATTTGAACATATACAAAGTTTGTAAAATATCAAGAGGTTATAAAATATATCATGACAGCAATGAATCACAACACGTTGGTTAAATGTATCGATGTTTGCCCTAGAAGCACCACAGTCAACAGCCTTGTGTCGTCTTCCCAACAATGTCCTAGTTAATATCTCTCTTTACTACACCAGTGACCTGAGCTCTGTAATGACTCCAACTGGTCACTTGTGTTACAGATGCTCAGTTGCAGTGGGAAGGAATTTCCACAGCCATATTTTGGTTCCATATCCCCAGTACAATTATATTAAAAAATAACTAGCTTATAAAATTGCACCTAACACACACACACACAGTTCAAGAAGAAGAATTATTGAGTTTGGGAGTTTGTAGTCTTAATATCCCCTAAGAAAGTAACGTAACGCACTAGTAAAATTAATGCTGAAAAAGAGGAAAATTTTAATTTTGTAAAAAAATCATCATGGAAGTGAAGGAATTTTTTTTTTTTTTTTTTTTTTTTTTTTTTTGTTTGTTTGTTTGTTTGTTTTTCATTTAGAAGCGTACCTTAATGGCATCCTTGACAAATTGCCGGAAATAATGAAAATCTTAAGGAATGAGGTCAGGGATGACGATGCCACAGTCAGTGATGGTGACCTCGGTGATGGGGTTATGACGGACAGCAACCTCCACCACCCCCATCCCTGACGATACTCTCCCGAAAGGACACTGGAAAGTTCCTAAGGGCTGCCCTCTTGTGCAGATGCCAAAACCGTGTGTGTCTGTACCATAAAAGGATCCCATTACTGTTCGTTTCTTTGCAGGTCCTGAAAACCTTCCACCCCACTCTAAGTCACTCATTAGAATCCTGTTGCTTGTTGAACCATCTGGAAGTACATATCTACGAACGTCCAAGGTTTCTCTTTCTTGGTTATGAGCGGTAACAACGAAGGAGGCGCCGACGTAGGAAGATCCCAAAGAGCCAAGACAGAGTGCCAGGAATTGTTGTGCACGACGCAGGTGAGTCCACAGCTCGATGTATACACGACCCAGACTTTGCTTGCCAACACTCAACTCTAGGAACACCTCCGTCGGCAGCTACAAAGAAGAAATTCATGTAATTTAAGGGGTAAAATATAGCATGTCTATTAAGGTATATGTGTATATTAATTAAGAGGAATGCCTGATGCATTAAGGAATTTGATATACAGTATCAGCCAAGTGAACACCCCAATGACACAACCCCGTTCTAGGCAATGCAAACAAAACATCATACCACCAAGGACTCACAGGAGGTTTACATGGAAGGTAAATAGGTCAGGTTTAGATTAAAAAACTCTCAGTATTAGTTGCTTCATAACACACTTAGACGCTTGAGCCGTCACCAGGAATAGTGTGACGATACCATTGAACTGTTTGTTGTATATTACAGTTCTTGATATAAACCCTCTTAACACAGTATTACTGGGAAACTTTTAAACAATTTAATCTATAAGAAGTAGACCCGTAGATTTGAAACATTAATATTGGTACAAGTTTTCAATGGAACCAGAAACAAACTGCCAGGTTGCCCCGCAGTAAGTAAATATACGGATACTGTATTACTTATTACTATTTGTTCTTGGTGAAGCGACGGCACTAGAGTGTTATTGAAGTTCCCCATTAGGTTCACAACGACCAGGGGATTATAAGTACTGTTATTAAAAGGTTTAGTGCGAGATGTTCTCTCTTGTTTATCCTATTACACACAATATTGTCTCAGTAAAGGGGTTGCATCAGAGGTAAGAGGTGGGGGAACACAAGGGGGATGTGGTGAGGGGGAGGCTTATCAGAAGTGCACTTGTTATGAATTTATGTTTTTATGCTTAATCCCGAGAACTCATTGGTACATGATAAGTCAGTTTTAATCTAGTTTTAAGCAGAACTGTCAACATGAATATGCATCACCCCCTGTACCTCTTTATAGTAACTGGACTTTACCTGCAAAAAGAGGCGACTGTCAACACGAGCACTGATTGTGTGTAGCAAGAGTTTTCCATCGCAGGAGTCCAGCCTAGCACGGCGTCTGTCTACAGGAAAGTCGTCATTTATTGTGTTGTGGTGGCAGGCGCTGGCTGCATCACCCTGGCTGTTTTCTTCGGCTATGTTATTTGAATATAAACCTTCAGCCACGTGATCAGTTTCTGTTTCATCGTCATCTTCTGCTACAATGGGTCGATGTTTTATCTGTAAACTCTTCAGCTTCACCTCCGAGATTATCATATTATCAATGTTGCAGACTTCTTCTACGTCTTCTGAGATGGCAGCCACATCTTTCTCAGCATCATGAAGTCGATTACTATTAATACACAGTCTTTTGAGCTTAATAAAGTAACTGCTGGCCTTGTCAGTAATAATTTTTTTCTTATCAATTAAAACTTGACTGTATTGTTTAATTTGTCCTTGTAGTGCGTGTTTCTTCTCTTGGAGACAGACTTTAGCTAGCTGGACATCGTGGTTTTGTGGGTGGCTGGAGTAGAGACAGAGGCCACACAGAGCCGCATTACACCCCCGGCACCAGTAGGTCAGGTCACCCCCATGGTCACTGCAGGTCTCACACTGCCGAGAGAAGATTATGTAATTTGAATATTGTCCTCTAAATAATTATCTTTCACTCCTAGTTAGTTACTGTGTATATACCTGTGAGACTGAGCTCCCCTGAGAGTGGCATCAGGTAATAACATGACCAGCACACAAACCACCTTAAGTATTCGCCACACAAGTTGGTTCCGTTCACTCATCATCCATAACTGAACAATAGCGGCTAGAGCTTTTAATTACTGAGCTGACTGACAGTATCTGACCTGGTAACATTATATGACGACGCCAGGAGCAATGACAACATGAGTACTCTATTTTTAGTAGAGTACATGATCAAATTGTATAAGACTCGAGTGTATGAGTGAGAAGAGTAGCGGTGAGGCAAGATCATGTACACGACTACTAGCGGTCCTGTAGTGAGTCACGTCACCCGCTTACATCATTTATTTAAGTTAAGGCTAACAATAAAATATTAAGATTGTATTTATTTATTTATAATGAAACAAATTATAAATGATAAGTCTATGTAAAGATGATTCGTTTCTCTTTGGTCGGTAGATGCGTCACCCGTCGATTAAAAAAGAACCCAGTTTTTAGTCACAAAAATTACTTCAATTTGCTTGTGGGTTGACGGTATACATAAGCCCCCCCAAATAAAAAAAAACACACACACACACACACCTGGAAATGAGTGTAGCTGGATGCTAAACCCAATAACGAGAAACAGATAGGCAAATCTTCCAAGTCAATGTGGTCAAGGTCTCGCCTGCAGGAGGGACAGTTGAAGTCGCCCCTGACACGAAGGCTGGAGAGACAGCTGCGACAGAAGGTATGGCCACAGCACAGCACCAGGGGATCGCGGAGTCCAGACTGGTACACATCCGAGCACACTTGGCACGTGACCGCCTCCTCCATCGTGACCCCTCACACCCGGGCAGTGACGACAACAACCTGCAAGAAAACATCTCCTCATATCTGACACATTGCTGGCGCTCTTCAAAATTACCGAGATAAGATAATCTCTATATCGAATACTAACCGTCTACCGCACCCACAGTACCATATCTACACACGCCACACAACAGAAGAAGCTTTGAATATATTACCCAGGCCCGCACCGCACCCGCAGTACCTTGCCCACTCTCACCCCACACCCGCAAGTCTGATCGCATTCAACCCGCTAAGTGAAATTTTAGCAGGTTATTAAGTGGTAAATGTTTCAGTAAGCAATTAAAATTACAAGCAATGCAAGGATGCCAGAAGCTATACACTCCTCCATATACAAATGTGAAATGTCTACAGACGATGTCAAGTTATTCAGGGAAATTAAGAACCAAGCGAACTGTGAAGAGCTACAGAAAGATCTATGTCAGCTTCAAGACTGGTCGAAGAAATGGCTGCTAAGATTCAATGTCAAGAAGTGAAGAAGCTACACCTGGGTCGCACCAACAATAAGGAGGCTTATCATATGTCCCAACGGGACGAAGAAACTACTTTAATAGAAGACCTGTGTGTATATGTTGACAATGAACTGAAGTTCTCGGGCCACAGTGAGAAGACAGTGAATCAAGCAACTAAACTAGTAGGTCTTATAAGAAGGTCGTTGAGATATCTAGGCGATCCGTCCCTCGTCACAATCTTCAAGAGTGGGATGCTTCCCCGTCTGGAGTACTGTCACCCCTTCTGGTCCCCGAGATATACAAGAGAATGTCACTATTAGGGAGGAGGCAATACAAGCACTCTCTTTCTCTCTGAGATAGATCACCTGTTAACGGTCTAGTGTCCAATATTAAAGTAGCAAAATTAAGGAATAATTTATCTTGACCTGCAAAGATCCAAAGAGTCACCTGCATAAGTAAACTCAAACCCGTCCTCCTGCTCCCCCAGATATTTTCAAGTTTGAACCCACACCCGTTTCGCCCCCCGCAAACATTTCTCAGTGTCAGCCCACGCCCACACCACAATGCGAGTAACCAGTGCAGACCTCTGTAGTCTATATAGTGTCGCACAACGTAAGGCAGAACTACATCCCCTAATATTTTCTTTAAGTTTTCAAGATTATGTTCGTAGAGTACGTACGAATCTATGGTTGGAGCGAGTACATATAACCCTGCATCCAACACCACCATTCTACACCTCCAACCCCATCCTGACCCTATACCCCACCCTACAACTCCATCCTACACCTCTATCTTACACCTCTACCCTACATCCCCCATCCTACACCTCCACCCTACAACCCCATCCTGACCCTATACCCCACCCTACAACTCCATCCTACACCTCCACCCTACAACCCCATCCTGACCCCATACCCCAACCTACCCTGGTCGTGTGTATTTTATTACCAAAAGTCACCTTTCCTGAGGCTTAATTCACTAATGGCGCTGAAGACACGCATCACCCACACTGTAGTGTTCTTTCTCTTGAAAATTTGTGGAGGACTGTTATAATTAATCATAAGAACACATACTCGGTCATGAACTCCCGTGGACTGTAATAAGCGTACCGGTCATATAAGAATAATTGTAGAGTCACCGGTTATCATAAATACAGGAATGGAAAATAAAACCGATCAAGAGTGAGAAACGATGTATACTGTATGTTGCGTTGTCCAAGAAAGAGAAATAACTGAGACCCTACAATTGTGTGTGATGACATATGGCAGCAGGGTCTACCATTAGACAACACATGATGCTTCCAATATCTTCCCAGGCGGTAGTACCTCCCTGTTTGGTAGCTGCCTTTCATGGATTTAGTAGTTTAGGTGTGGATGTTATATAAAGATTATATTATATTGTGTTTCCTATATTTCTTACCGTAGAGTTCGATACCTTCACACTGGTTACTTACAGGAGATTATGGCGTATCTACGTAGAAATTCACTCCACCACCCGACATTCCATGATTTATACTTGATAAATGATGATTTAATGAGTTCCATTAATTTCCAACATCCATCTAAGTTATTGGTTACACAATGCTTTACAATTTGCATGGTTATACGAGTCACTCACATTCACGCTGTAATAAAATTAATCTTCTAACGAGGGAATTTTCAACTTGGATACACATGTGATTACTCTACTATGGGTATGACTTAACAGAGCCTTAATTCTTCAAGTGATACATTTACTGCCAGCTTGGATTTCTCTTGTTGCAACCAGGCTTCCGCACAAGAATTTCTTTCTACGTGGAATAACACCAAAAAGGTACCCTTGGGTTACCACACACAGTCTCGCGTCACTGACAGTCAATGTAAACGGTTGTCGCGGCAAGGAGAACTGGTAAGCGTGACTTGATTAACTACTTAGGTTCAATAGGCCAGCCTGGATTGCTCTTGTCGCAACCAGGCATCCACACGTGATTTTTCCACGGGGGTAACAACCTAGGTTAGCACACTTAGTCTCGTGTCACTGACGGTCCACAGGACGGGGTGGCGGTGGAGGACTCTGTGTGGTGTCCCGTCCCCTTCAGGAGGGTGAGGGTGGGGACGACGTCTTAACTAACCCATGGCCTAGAGGATACTACTCAAAGTGTGGTTTTGGGGCGTGAGGCGATGAACAGTACAGCACTGTCTCAATGCCCCCTATAGGCTGGCTAACATACCACTAAAGGAAAAAAAAATATGTTGTAGTCATGGCTCGCCGGGTGCCTTATCTCTAGTAAAACAAACTTTGGAGTTGGCTGTGTGGGTAAGCCTAACGCAACCTCCCTGTTTGATAGCTGCCTACTGCCTGTACATCTTCCTCCCCGTGTTGAATTTATTCAACACAGTAATCACGACAAACCTATATAGGTTGCAACAGAAGTATACTCGTGAAATTATCTTAAAGATGTTCCACCGTTGTTCAGCAATAACGTAGGTTGAGATGGCTTTGGTAGGGGAAGTTTGTGTTGACAGAGTGCCGGCTCTGTGGTGACAAGAGCGATCAGCTAAGAAGAGCTCGTTACCCCCAAAACAAACCCACATCGGTGAAAACCAAAAAACCGATGCAACTAAAAGATTCGTTTACCATAACTAACCAAGTCCACAATTATATGTACAGTAACAAATTATAAACAAATATAATGATAAAAGAACCAACACCAATAATAATATTAAAATTGACACTCAAAGCTTACAATCTCGTCTTCTTATCGTATATTCTACGATAACAGTATGAAGACACGATAAGATCAACTTCCGGTTCAGGAGACAGCCTGAGTGTTTGTCGTGGAGTTTTATTGAATAATTGTTGACGTGTGAAGCAGACATACCAAGGAGGTGAATGTTTTGTTGCCGGGACGCGCGACATTTAAGGAAAATTAACAGAAGCAACATTTACTAAGTGACAATAGAAACGAATTATATAAACAATAGAAAATTAAGACACCTTGAATAAACATAAGTCACTTGAATAAAGAAACAAGGCAAGCAACCATTGTCCAGTACAGGTCACGAGGAGCCTGCACGAGAAGCCTACGTCTTCACTTTTTTCTCTTGTCAGGAAACAACTCCCCACGCCATCAATGTCACTGTTACCATCATTATCCACTTCTTCACGTATTTCTGGTATACCTGACTGCCCGCATATGTAAAGTACTATAGATTCCACCTCTTAAGTCTGGTGGCCTCTCCTTCCCCCTGCCTTAAAATACTCATGTTGAAACAATAATGCCAGCCAGGGACAGTCATTTTTGCTAGTTCACCAACGCAGTGTTTTTGAGCCAGTCAGAACGTTGGTGCTATAAACCTGTCCAGAGTTTCTTATAGTATGATAGACATAAATACCCAGAGTCTTCCCACCTACCATCACTAAGCCCGCCATGCGTCGTTCAGCTCATGTCAAGAAGTATTGACTACAGGCGTTGACTGTCAGTAAAATAACTCAATTATCAATCAGAGGTGCCGGCCTCAACCTAGTTTGTGATCTCTACCCCCCCCCCCCTTCCACTGAATGCTACCCTCTCTGTAAGCTAAGTGTACTCTGTCGTGAGTACTAAGTGTTCGTGAAGTACAGTATTGAAGGTGACGTTTAATTGTGTGAAGACTGACTGTTAATTCCGGTCAAATAACTTACAGCCCAGTACAGTGGAGTTGTGTGTAAGTTCGCTGCTGTTGTCCATAAAGTTAAAACTAATTATATTGTCCTCGAGTAGTTAAGTGAACAGACATAATTACAGGGAACCTTAACTTATTATGTACAATCCGGGACAAAAGTTCGCTCCTAGTAGTGAAACTGAATCACGGGAATGAGACTCCGAACTGACTTACCCTGCTTGTTGTATCTCGATTGGGGTCGATGCTGCTTCATTTTGGGAGGGAGCAAACTTTTGACCCCGACTGTACGTTCCTAACTTGACTGAGACAAGACACTGGTACGGCAACGCGAACAGTAGAACATAACATTCGACCTTTGACTAATAAACCGTTTCTTTCGTTGTCTCCACTAACTAAACGTCAATCTCCTGTGAAACTTATATCGAGGACTGGTTTAAAGACATCTCTTATTTTTGCAACATAAACACACAGTACCCCAGTAGTCTTGGTGTTCACAAAGCTTTGAAGTAAATGACTGCGTGGTATGTGTATCACAGCTCAATACGGAAGACAACATGAAATACCGAGTTAGATTAGGAAAAATTTACACGCAGTGGGATAGTTTAACATATTATCCTAATATTATCCCTAAACGCAAAATAAAACGAACGGTGTTGAGCAGATCCAAATTATGGAGCAACTCCTCCCTCCCTTGATATGTTCTTATCATTCACGAGTACCATTGTTGTCGGTACATTTCTCTCCTGTCTTATCTCGTACCTTCCTTCCCCTGTCTGTCTGTCTCCTGTCACCCACTTTCGAACCATACGTTTTTTTAGACCAATCTCTCATGTAACTTAACGTGTCCATACCACCTACGCTAAAGCACGCTCAGTGCAACTCAATGTTCCTCCCACTTCCTTAGTTC